GGCCAGTGGTTATAGCTTTCATGGAAGGAAAGAATATGGAGTGGTGGCCTCAGGGTCTTTGCCCCAAGAAAGGACCCTAAGGTAAGCGGAGGTGGGAACCCTAGAACCCTGTGTAGGCTCTCCCAGCACCCCATCTCTTTCCAGGGAATGCTGTCACCCTTCTCCGTCTCTTACCCTGTTCTCTCTCTCTCTCTCTCTCTCTTTTTTTAAAGATTTTATTTATTTACTTGAGAGCATGAGAGCAGGACCAGTAGGGAGGGGCAGAGGGAGAGGGAGAAGCGGGCTCCCTGCTGAGCAGGGAGCCTGATGCGGGGCTCGATCCCAGGACCTCAGCTGAGATCATGACCTGAGCCGAAGGCAGATGCTTAATCGCCTGAGCCACCCAGGCGTCCCACCCTGTTCTCTTGATTACTCCTGACTGCTTGTGCAGTAAGTACTCACCCCTGCTTTTTACAGATAAGAAAGCCAAGGGTCAAAGAGGTCAGGAAACTTGCCCCCAAACATGTAGCTAATAATTGACAGAGGGAGCAATGAACCCAGGGCCTCAGATTCCCTGCTCCTTCCACTCTCCAAGACTTTTCCGATCTTCTAGAAAGCTCTCAAAACACTGTTCAACTTTGCCTTTCCTCCTCTGTGCCTCAGTTCTCCTTGTTGAAAAGGGACAGTCCTTGCGTCGGTGCAGTGCTGTCCCCACACCCTGTTCCCAGTTTGCTGCCAAGGCAGAATTTCCAGAGTGCTCTGAGGTCCCCTTGGAGGAAGGTTCAGAGTCTGGAGTGGCCAGTTCTGAGACCAGCTGTGAACATACCAAGTGGCCTCATGGAGTCTGTACCTGCCAGACCGAGCAGAACAGGACAGTTACTTGGAGCGAATGCCTGACATTTAGGCGTGCTAGTAAATGTCTGACAACCAGTTCTCTGGGCTGCCCAGAAACCTCCTCCCAGCACCTCCACAAGTGGCCCTCCTCCCCCGAGGCCCTGAGGCAGCTGCTGGGGGCTGGGGGGGGGGGTGGGGGGGGTGGGAGAGGGTGCCTCTCCCTGGGAGCTTCAGTTCTTGGGAAATGGGAAGTCCCTGGCTAGAAAAGGGGATCTAT